ATTATGAAATATTGTTCAGAAATATTTTCTAGAAAATTTAAAGAACTAACAGTAGTTGTGAAATTGATGTTTTAAAATAATATCCATCGATTACGAATAAGGAACAGTTTAAATAAAGATTATTCAAACTTATTGCATTATTAAATGAATAAATTGATTTTGAAATTAGAAGTAAAATTTTGTAATTCATTGCCCCGTTGCAATTGATCAAATTTACAATTGATCAGTAGTGAGGATTGCGTTCAAAAAATTATTCGTACAAACCATTATTAAATACTATTATTATATTGTAGCAAATATTATATTTGAAGTATGCAGAAACGATCAATTGATATGAAAAGAAAATATAACTTCCTTTGGAATTTAATGAAATTCTTGGTCTCGTTCGTTATAGGCGAGACACCCGGTGTATCGAAGTACTTCTAGGACATTGTTTCGAGGAGCATTTTCTGAACAACGTCGCGACTTTTCCCCCGAATTTGCGTGTTATTTCACGGAGTTTTATACGAGAGTTTTGCATTCATATCACCGCAACAAGGAAGCACAGAGCTTTCAGCCGAAGGCATTTCTTCGTACGTCACCGATATACCTAGGTCTGCGCGAAATGTTTCTGTTCGGGCGCGATGTGCGTGAATTGGAAAAATGCGAGAATGGAGTCCAATGCGAAACATGAGAGGGATCAACGGGTACGTAATCCTAGTTTTAAATAGTCGATTCCCATTCAGCCGTTTTCAAAGTTTGTCCTCGTGCAAATAAGGGCGATCGGGGTCGAAATTAACATTGTGAACAAATTAAAATCAAATGAAACTATCATTGCAAATTTTTGATGCATTATGCAAAACTACTATTCCAACGTATTCATTGTTATAACTAGATTGCGGAATTTATGCATTTATGACAAAAACGAGTAGATCAAGCGGAAAACAGCAAAACTTTTAATTTAAAAATATTATTGCATTGCTGTCAACTCAATGATATTATTAAGGAAAGGATTAAATGTCATTAATGAAGGTAACTTTTATTTTGCATGAATGTCCGCAATCGAGTTATAACAATTACTGGATGAAAGAATGAGTTTTTCTTCTAAGTATATAGCACTTCAATACGTATTTATTCTGTTATATAAACTAGCGCAATTTTAATAAACTTAATTGGACGTAAAATCTGGAAGCGTAAAATATCGAATTAAGAAGCACACATTTTCCACGTACTAACACAGATTATCGTTGACAAAAATTATGACGAACACTATTTTTTACATGTACTTTTGTTGCATTATACAAGGGAAATCCTTGTTTAAGTATTGTACAACATATTGACAGAATAATATAAAGAGACGACACTAACAATTTAGTAAGTATTGTACAACATACTATATTATTATTGTAAAGAATATTAATTAAAAGAATAATATAAAGAGACGTCACTAACAATATAGTAAGTATTGTACAACATACTATATTATTATTGTAAAGAATATTAATTAAAAGAATAATATAAAGAGACGTCACTAACAATATAGTAAGTATTGTACAACATACTATATTATTATTGTAAAGAATATTAATTAAAAGAATAATATAAAGAGACGTCACTAACAATATAGTAAGTATTGTACAACATACTATATTATTATTGTCGTCTTTTTATATTATTCTTTCAATATTATTTTGTTGCGAGACATAATAACGAACACTGTATAGTTCTCATTTAATTATAAAGAATTGTTAACGTAAAATGTTCAAATCCACAACGTGGGAATAATACGCTAACGCAATTAGGAACCGCATTTCCTGATTGGAGCCTTAATTGAAACTAAAGAAATTCCGGCAATTAACGTTGATTAAGCCACTCAACTCTTTAAGCTACCATGAATTATGTATATTAGTCTCGACGTTACCCGAAATTTATGCACGCGAGCACCTTCGAACTACTAATTCTCGAATATGTTATGCCTAACACACATATTCTATTAATTTCCAACCACACACTAATGAATTTCAGAAGCGTCGAAAGTTTTGATAGGATAAACAGTTGTGAACGCGATGATCGAATCGAGACAATCTTTATACCGATTTTAAGAACAACGCTAAAAAAAAACACATTAAAAACACAACTCTTAAGAATCACGATTACATGCGACAATGATTTTAGTATTAACCTTGTGTGTAAAAAGTGTTCGTACACTTCAAAGATTGAAGTCATTTAGTTCAGTTTTAAAAAAGTTTTTGCGTTTCGAAAGATGTACGAATACTTTTATAGACCACCGTAGCTTCCAACTATGAAATAGGGTGTCCCAAAATTATTGTACAAGCGAAAAATTATGGATTCCTGAGGCTATTTGAAATCATTTTTTCCTCAGTGAAAATGCAATCCGCGGCTTCGTTTAGGAGTTAATAACGAAAAACAGTGACCAATGAGAGGCGAGATTATCTGGCGCGTGGCGGCGGTGAGGACTTCGACCGCTCGTTGGTTCGGCCGCTTCGCGCGAACTGATCTCGCCTCTCATTGGTCACTGTTTTTCGTTAATAACTCGTAAACAAAGCCGCGGATTGCATTTTCGTTGAGGAAGAAGTTACTTCAAATGACCTCAGGAACCCGTCATTTCCCGCGTGTACAATAATTTTGAGATGCCCTCTGTAATAATAGTACATTTGCACGGAAATATGCTGAGAAAACTGGTCGGTTACAACTCCGCAATAATAACTAGACCTCAAGAGACAAGTGAACACAGCAGTTGTTAAATTATTTCAGTTCCGCAAACGTTGCGCCGTGAACCAGAAAGCGCCTCGACAACGGTGATCGCGACAATCCTAAATAACCATGAAGCTCGCATTGAAGGTCCGACGGGGGCGGAAAAAAAGAAGCACGAGCCTCCGTGACTGCGAATTCAGCGACAAAAAATTCAATGCGACGAGAGAAGGAGTCGAGAGGGGGTGGGATTCAGTCGGGGAAGGAACTTGAATNCACGATTACATGCGACAATGATTTTAGTATTAACCTTGTGTGTAAAAAGTGTTCGTACACTTCAAAGATTGAAGTCATTTAGTTCAGTTTTAAAAAAGTTTTTGCGTTTCGAAAGATGTACGAATACTTTTATAGACCACCGTAGCTTCCAACTATGAAATAGGGTGTCCCAAAATTATTGTACAAGCGAAAAATTATGGATTCCTGAGGCTATTTGAAATCATTTTTTCCTCAGTGAAAATGCAATCCGCGGCTTCGTTTAGGAGTTAATAACGAAAAACAGTGACCAATGAGAGGCGAGATTATCTGGCGCGTGGCGGCGGTGAGGACTTCGACCGCTCGTTGGTTCGGCCGCTTCGCGCGAACTGATCTCGCCTCTCATTGGTCACTGTTTTTCGTTAATAACTCGTAAACAAAGCCGCGGATTGCATTTTCGTTGAGGAAGAAGTTACTTCAAATGACCTCAGGAACCCGTCATTTCCCGCGTGTACAATAATTTTGAGATGCCCTCTGTAATAATAGTACATTTGCACGGAAATATGCTGAGAAAACTGGTCGGTTACAACTCCGCAATAATAACTAGACCTCAAGAGACAAGTGAACACAGCAGTTGTTAAATTATTTCAGTTCCGCAAACGTTGCGCCGTGAACCAGAAAGCGCCTCGACAACGGTGATCGCGACAATCCTAAATAACCATGAAGCTCGCATTGAAGGTCCGACGGGGGCGGAAAAAAAGAAGCACGAGCCTCCGTGACTGCGAATTCAGCGACAAAAAATTCAATGCGACGAGAGAAGGAGTCGAGAGGGGGTGGGATTCAGTCGGGGAAGGAACTTGAATCGTTCGCGCTGTTTCACCAGAGATTTTACAGCCACCGGTAGATTCGCTCGCTCTATTGATACCGAAGGTCTAACTGTCAAGAGAGCAGAGTGCAGCTCGACTTCGCTGCAGCAAAACTTGTTGGGAATACAATGACCGCGTTTCTCTGCAGAGCGTCGACGCGGGCATGAATGCTAGCTGAGAGAGATATCTTTTCAACTTTCAGACGCGACAAGTCCCAACACACGTCTTTATATCTGGAAATGGCTATAGAATGTGTCGCGCGCGGCTTTTTACCAGCTTCGCGTCTGCATAAGCAGCTTTAATGATCGCACCTAAGCGGTCAACGTTCCGGCGCGCCGCCATAAACGTTTCATTAAGCTAATTTCCGAAGTGAAATCGTTTCCTCCGTTTCGATGTCTCGATGTGATAATTAGTAGCGAATCACTATCCTACCGGATCATTTGTTTGGCTCTACACTCTACATTCACAACTGGGAATAAAAACTCGTAGGTCTACTTTCCTGCCGGACTTGGAAGAACCCTTTTTTCATCACCTAAGTATCGCGAGAAGGGCAAACTCTCTAAGAAGTATGCCAACAAGAAAAGGTCGTAATCGTTGGATAATTGATTTTGATTAAACTTTTTCTATCGAATCTGTAGTCAAAATAAACCACCTCGAATTTTACAGGTTTCGTCGATATTCATTATTTACGAAGACTTTTTCCGTTTAATGTTTGCGATAAGATTGCGGATTTTTATGCAAGAGCTGTCTATTTCAATTCTTATTTTGCATGAAGATTCACTGTCTACTCAGTACAGTAGAACTTCGATTATCCGGGCTAAACAGAGTGACATAAATATTCAGATAATGGAACAATTACTTAGTTGAAGTGCCGAATGTCATTTTCATTGATTTGTACAATAAATTACTTGGAAATGATTCGTCTTTGGAAGAAGTTACTTCGAATGATCTCAGGAACAGCTCATTTCCCGGAAATACCATAATCTTGTGACATGTTATATTTACTAAATTACAAAACCAGCAGAAAAGTCGTTAATGAATAAACAATATCCGATATTTTATGTGTACCGATTTAATGGTAAACAAATTGATGGAATCAACGACAATTCAACGCGTGCAAATGGTTGAAACGTGATGTGCTGATTCCTTCTCTGGAATCCGAGAACATCTCGGGATGACAGATCGACTCACCGGCAACTCTCGCCTCCTTGCAGGCCTCGTACATGTCCTGCTTGATCTCTGGATTGTTATCTGCGATGGTTTCGCCGACGGTGACGAACCTCTCGACCGCCAGATTCACCGCTTGACCGATCCGGTCGACCGCACGGTAACTTCTGCCCGAACATAGCGGACGTTCCCTGTGCGATACTAACGTGGAAATCTGGAAAAAAGGAAAAAAAGACCATGTATTGAGCCGGTGATGTATTCGATGTCAATTGTCTGTATTTATATTCCCGACGCTTTCACGACATAGTTCTCCAATGGTCTTTCAGACTTACAAGGGATAATCCCCAACCCGAAAATTCAAAAAATTCAAAAAATTCAAAAAATTGCGAAACTTTTGGGATATGTAGAGCATATCTAGGGTATGTATTGCGTAATTTTTTTCTGCGTAAATTCACTTTAACACTTTCGCTACCAGCGTCACCAGCGTACGTAGTTATATTTATTGCATTAATCGTGTCAAACGCATCGCATTCTCTTATAAGATATGATAAAAATGTCGCCAAAGGGAAGCTATAAATTCTTTAAATATCATGCTACATATTATGATTTTAAATAATTATATTCAGAAAATTAATTTCATGTTCTTTACGTGAAATACCAAATCGGGGTTGTCACACATGTGTGACGCTAGTAGCGAACATGTTAAAGGGTGGAAATTAACCCCCAATTACTCGGCTATTTTTTATTTTATTGCTATAATTCCCAAATTGTACAAGATAGAAAAAAAACAAATGAAAAAGATCATAAATAAATAATCGATATTTTTTGTATACGACATGTTAGATTTGGACAAAAGAGGTAACTTTTATTTGAAGACTCTTTTTGTACGTTCTACAGTTTGCGAGTTACAGTGAAGTGTCAAGCTATTCTTCCTGAATTGTTTAAAATTATTGTTATTATTCTGTGGTATTATAGAAAACACATGCGTATTTACATATCTTCCTACTCTTTATTTTTTTACGATTAGATGTACGTAGCAAATTTAATTTGCCCATGAATTGAAACGAACGAACTCCGACCGTAACGCGTACGCCGTTAATAATGGGATTATATGAGTGTAATAAATGCTAAAAATGTATGCTTCGTGGACATGCAGTAACGAGGAGAAAATTAGGCTAGGCCTCTGCTTGGCAATGCTCCAAATTACAATTCCCGCTGCGAATAAGGTAGCCACCGAAAAAGTATCAATTTAGCTGCATTACTTCAACTAAATTGGCTCGTACTCGCAAATATTTTGTACCATGCATACATTTATTACACGATAACTAGGCTGCGCATCATTTATGCTGCTACAGCAATCGTTCCTTAACATTATATCAATCCCTTAATACATGCAGCGCAATAAATATTTTAATAAAGTTACACACAGTTTCAATATTCTCTCTCACTTGACAGAAATATACATTCTGTTAAAGTGATTTTATCCGATTAATTTGTTCTATCAAGATTCTCCTAAGACTCGTTATATCATTGTTAATAAAACTATTGTTTCACATAAGATACACTTTTGTTTTTATTTAGTTGTTTTTATTCATACGTAATATATTTAAAAAAAATTTTTCTTTTTATCGAAGCATTTCATAGTCAACGTTCAAAGAAAGGCATGACAGTTTCTAACTTTGGTTCATGGTAGAGGATTTTCCAACTAAAACAGACCACCCAATATTTTCTAACTGTCTTCTCTAACTTCTGTTATACTCCAAAAAGTAATCAAGAATTCGAAAAACGTGAGAAACTAGCAGCACAATTTTCGGGAATGAGTAGACATCTTTCCCCGCCTGCCTAGTAAAGTCTCTCTACTCATTACCCGTCAGAGTTTCGTCGAATGCTCTGAAGCCCTTTTGCATCGAAACTCCTGTATCTCATTGAAACTGCATCTCGTCGTCAAACTTCGCCAGCAGCTTCCAGCTGTTTCTCACGTCCGCATGCAAGATGACAAGAAAGTAACGTTATCATTATCCGTGTAGAATACGGAGGTCTCGTTAGCAGTTTGGGGCACCCTTAGAATATCGAGGGCACGTTGTCGGGGAACTCAAAATCCGTGGAACGTAGAGGCTCGGTTAATTATTGAAATAAAATAGCTATTCTGAAGTACCGCTCAATTGTGAACACACTTCTTGAAACAGTAATACAAACAATACAATAAAAAATAGAGGGAGCATATGAAAGTCGCTGCAAAAATTCTACCAATATTTTCGAACACTGTTCTGTATCAATTCACTCACACGAGTACTGTTATGTAATAATCAACTGTTAAATTTGTTATTCACATTAAATGAATATTTCAAAGTTCAATATGTTATCTAGAGACATCAATCTATCGAACAGTAGTATAAATATCCAACGATAGCACTTTTCAGTTGCAATGAAGTCGATGGCAACCTTATACCACAGTTAGGCATTATTCGAATTGTTTCGAATATATATTCATCGATGATAATTATTCGAATGAATTCCTCTTAGTTGAATATTTTATTCGAATAATTCATTATTGGTCATAAATTATTCTATCTATTTATTCTAATAATTCTTCATCCGAGGGAAATAAATCGATAAACTATGAGGAAACACTTTACATTGTATCATGTTTATTCAAATCAATTATCTTGAACACGATATGAATTATTGTAAGAATGAATTCTTATTCGTATGAAATTTTATTCGGATAAATTTTTATTCGATTCAATATTTGAATATTCGTTCGATAGTGTCGAACAAAATTGTATTCTTCTGCCCAACTCTGCTTTTTACCCTCTGCGAAGTATCCCATAATTGGTAATTTTACCTTAACCAAGTTCGGGCCGGATCTAATTATTGTAGCGTCCCGGTGTGTGACGTTCTGAAAAACGAGCGTGACTAATGCAGGCGAAGCTTTCCTCCGGTAGCAATGGAAAGCAGCCACGCTCGGATTGTTTTGTCTGCCGGCTAACGACCAGACAGCCACCCCCACGTCCCACCCCCGCGTCACCCTCTGTAAACGCCAAACGTGTATTCAAGAAAGATGCACGGGAGTAACCCCGTTACCTGGCCTGTAGCTGCAGGGCCCATATATCTCGTTTTCCTCGCAATTAGACAATGCATTTAGCCACCGCCCCCTTTAAAGCGTTCCGCGAGCCGTTCGGGGACGAGCAGATGAACGCGGAAGAATGAGAAAACGACAAGCTGGCTTCCAGAGGCGGCGGGAGAAACGGGAGGCAGAAATAGGTCGACGGAAGAAGAAAATGAATCGAGGAAAATGGTAAGACGCGCGAGACCGATCTGTATACCTGTACCGAACGCCGCGGAAAATGAATATACACACTGCTACGTGACCGGTGCTGCGACCGGATATGAACTGATTCCGTGGAAATAGTAAATTGGAAATGTTAATCGAAAAGGCGCGGCGCGGGGCTATTCGATCACTCGGCTGCGGACTTTTTTGCGAAAAAAAATTGTCTGCATCAACTGCTTTCTGTTTGTCAATAACTTTATTCTCTTTTCAATTAACCTACATAGCGTCGGATAACTATACGTCGTTGTTGGCTACATTTGAGAAAATATTGTTCTCCGAATGTTTTTCAGAAATAGTTGTGTTATTTCCTAATTTATATCACGTTGTGGACTTTGTAATTAATAGTTTTTACATGATTTTTATAATTTCTTTGTTAAACGTTGTCAAACTGCATCAAACAGATTTAGGTTAATACTTTGGATTGCTATTAATACATTGATATCTTTTAATCGACTGAACTTTCCTGCTAATTTTAAAATGCAATTACTCAATTTTCAAGTAAGTGCATAAAATCCGCAGTGTATTGATCATCTTTCTAAGGAAATTGTTTCTCATCGATACGTTCACTTCGACTAACTGTGACTTCTATGTCTTTTTTATTTTCAGTTTTGCATTTAACTCTTGGATATGAGTTCTTCTCAATTTTATTTAACATTCGGACGACGAAACTTTTCGAGAAAATCTTGACCGAGTAAGCATAGGATCAATTAGGATCAATTTTCCAATAAATACTAGGCCATTTGAATTGAAAAATGTGATTTTAAGTGCACCAAAAATCATCTTTCATTCATAAACTGTGAATATCGATTATTGATATTTTCCATAAATATAACCTTGACATAACCATTCGTCAATTTAACGAACTTTTAAGTGAAGTTTTCGTAGAATATAGTTTGAAAGTGACACTAACGAAGTTAAGCATCTTAGGAAAATTGAGTGTTTTATTCAATGTGTTTTTCAAGTTGTTCTCAATTTTATTTCCAAAATGATAGAACTTCAAATATTTCAATATACTGATTTTACGCTGATGATGCATTTATCTGTGTATTCAATATTTCCTACGACCTGCACAACAAATTAAAAGTTTACGCTGGTAAACCATGAGGAACCAAGTTAAAAAGATCATTAACAATATCCACAAGAAGAGACGTTTCCAGTTCGTCCACTTAGTTAGCCATATCCCCGATTATCTCATCTGTAAATAAAACTTTCCGAACTGAAAGTGGATCGTGCAAACGCTTAAGAAGTCGTCGAAATGATAAAAAGTAAGCTGCCATTTCCATTTCCAGAGTCGTTTCCGATGAACTTTCGTTCAGCTGACCGAAGAAAAACGTTGAGAAAGGAAGAAGATGAACGTTGCACCAGATTTTATCCCCGCATCTTTGTATAGAGAAGCAAATTAATTTTATGCTATTTTCAGTTTCCAGTTGTAACATATAGAATATTGGAACCAATTACTGTGCCCTGTTAACAAAGATCAGGAGCTGCTAAACACAAATTTACCAATTTAAATGTCATTTCTTAAAGATTTAAAGATTTTCAAAGTTTCTTTTGTCGACATAAATTTTCCTATAACTCAAGTATCAATAACTGTGCAAAAATTAATACTTAACATACATTCATAAATGTTATACTCTTTAAAAATAAATGAATACAATAGAAAGTCATTTAATTGATCACATTAGAGATTACTACTTTAACAAAATTTCATATTTATATTTCTCCTCTTTAAAACTATGACGGATATGGTATCAGATTCGTGATTATGTGCGTTCAAAAGCTACACTTAGTCATCAATATTTCACGATACAAGACATATATTTTGAATTGTTTACTTTTGTCCAATACAGCGCGTGATAACTGTGCATTAAATCTAGATTACG